TTGCAATCCTCCTTTCTCAGTCTCCTGAGTAACTGAGATTATAGACATGAACCACCATGCCAGGCTGCAATTTTAATTAATTATCTGCTTTTTGTTTTCCTAGTCATCTCTTGCTGTGTTAATTCTCCTTAATATCAGTGTTCTTACTTCTAAGTGTTACTCTTTTCCTCTTTTAATTTGCTGTGAATTATGCTATGGGTTTGGAGATTACAAGAAATGGATATAGATCAAGAGAAAATAAAAGAAAGCCTTCCTCATGAGTGAAGTAAATGAATATTATGATATCAGACTGTCACCTCACACTATTTCCCCCTTATCTCCTAATTAAAAAAATTTTTTTTTCTTGTAGTTGTAGATGGACAGATGTCTTTATTTTTTTATTTTTATGTGGTGAAAAGGATCGAACCCAGTGCCTCTCACAAGCTAGGCAAGCGCTCTGCCCCTGAGCTGTAGCCCCAGCGGCCCCCGCCCCCACATTCTTGAATATGTTTTGGATCTATTTTTTCAGCAAACACTTACTGAGCACAGTAAACAGCATCTCTGTCCTCATGGAGTTTACAGTTTAGTAGAAAAGCATTTTATAAAAAATCACACATCACACAAAGTCTGATCATTACAATAGGGAAGTTTTGCAGTTCTAGAACTACATAACTGAGCATTTACTAAAGTTGAGGGGTTATGGATAGCTTCAGGGGAGGTAGAATTTTCCAGCTGGAGTCTAAAAGATAAGTAGAAATTCATCAGACAAGAAAAAGGTGTGGGAGAGAAGTGAGTTGTAGACAGAGGGAAAAGAAGTGGCAAGGTCTAGAGCATAGGAAGACACTGCAGGAGGGAGGAGGGAGAGACTACCACAGGAAGCACTGGAGGAAGTCATGGAATGCCAACATGGCTAGAGCACAGTACAAGGGACAGAAGGGAGTTGAAGGCACCGAGGTGAACAGGTAGAGTTGGCAGCAGAATTCAGGATTCAGAAATTATTACTGTATTTGCATCTTTGTTGTCCTTATCCTTATTTTTCCAACTAGTTTGCACAATTTTTCCCCCAGTGATGGGGATGGGAAACCAGGATTTCATGGATGCTAGGCAAAGCAGTCTACTGCTGAGCTACACCACTGGCCCTCTCCCTCCCTCCTTCCCTCCCTTCCTCCACCCACAGCCCTGGTACATTTCTTATAAAAAGACTTACTTTTCCTCTGATTTTGGTAATGGTACCTAATACTGTCCCTATAGTGTGTGATCAGTGTATAAATAGAGCATACAGAAGTAGAATGCTGCTATTAAGGTTAAGGTTATTGCCACATAAGCTTGTTGAAGAAATTATCAGAAAAAAATATATGCTTAAAAAATCACACAAATTTGGCCATGGTGGGGCATGCCTGTAATCCCAGTGACTCAAGAGGCTGGGGCAGGAGGATCACAACTTCAAGACCAGCCTCAGCAACTTAGTGAGGCCCTAAGCAGTTTAGTGAGACCCTGTCTCAAAATAAAAAGTGCTGGGGATGTTGCTCAGTGATTAAGCATTTCTGGATTCAATCCCCAATATCAAATAAATAATAAAAATTTAAAAGACTGTAGATACACCTCAGTGGTGAAGCACCCATGGGTTCAATCCCCAGTGCCAAAATAACAAAACAAGATGGTTATTAAAAATCATCAAATCCTTCGGTTGTGGTTAATAGCTCCAGTGACAGAGCATGTGTGTCAGATTCTGAGTTCAATCTCTAGCATCTAGGTAAATAAATAGATTAAAATCACCAAATCCCAAGGTCTCTTGTGGGTTCTCACCTATACTTAAGCACGTTGTATCACTGGTTGATTACTTTATAAATATGCCCTTTTCCTCACCTGAAAATTTATTGAAGCATATAACACATCCCCACTGAGCACATTATTTTACTCCCCTTATTAAACTTACTGTTTCCCCATTGAACTTTATTTATTTTTTTGATACCAGGGATTGAACTCAGAGGCATTCAACCACCGAGTCACACACCCTGCCCTATTTTGAATTTTATTTAGAGACAGGGTCTCACTGAGTTGCTTAGCATCTCACCAATGCTGATGCCGGCTTTGAACTCTGGATCCTCCCAAGCTGCTGGGATTACAGGTGTGTGCCACCTCACCCAGCTGTCCCGCTGAACTCTTGAGCAACTTTTAAAAAGTTGGCCATGAGCTGGACGTTTTCTTTCTTCAATTATCTCTCAAAGAACCTATGTTCTGGGCTGGGGTTGTTGCTCAGTGATTGCGTCCTTGCCTAGTATGTGTGAGACACTGGGTTTGATTCTCAGCACCTCATATAATAAAATAAAGGTCCACTGAGAATTAAAAATATATTTTTAAAAAAGAGCCTATATTCCATCATTCTAAGTGAAATAAGCCAGTCTCAGAAAATCAAGGGTCAAGTGATTTCTCTCATATATGGAAGCTAGAGCAGAATAAGGGAAAGAAAGCAGTGGGGGAAGGGATGGGATGTCATAGAGTAGGAGAATGTCATAGAGTAGGAGTAGGAGAATGAGAGGGAGGAAGGAAGGGAAAGAAATATGGAATAAATTTAACACAATCATGTTATATACATATAGAAATGTACCAAAGGGAATTGCACCTGTATGCATATGTAGAAAGTACAAATCAAAAATAAGAGGGGGGCTGGGGATGTGGCTCGGGCGGTAGCGCGCTCGCCTGGCATGCGTGCGGCCCGGGTTCGATCCTCAGCACCACATACAAACAAAGATGTTGTGTCCGCCGAGAACTAAAAAAAAAATAAACATTAAAAAAAATTCTCTCTCTCTCTCTCTTTAAAAAAATAAAAAATAAGAGGGGCTGGGGTGTAGTTCAGTGATGGAGCACTTGCCTAGTGCATGTGAAGGCCTGGGTCCGATCGTCAGCACTGCATAAAAATAAATAAATAAAATAAAAGTATTGTGTCCATCTACAACTATAAATAAATAAGTAAAAGTGAAAGGAAGATCAGTAGAGGAGAGAGAAAAGGAGAGGGAGAAGGGCAACTTAAGAGGGGAGATTGAAGATTAAAATCAAATTCCTTATATGCCTAATTTGGCAAAATGAACCCAAATACTACATATAATTACAACACTCTAATACATAAAACAAAAAAACTGTGGGGCAAAGTGGTGCACACCCATAATTACAGCCACTTGGGAAGCTAAGGCAGGATTGCAAATTCAAGATCAGCCTCAGCAACTTAGTGAGGCCCTAAGAAACTAGTGAGAACTTGTCTCAAAATTTTAAAAAAGGGGGAGGGCTGGGGATGTGGCTATGCACTTGAGCACCTCTGGGTTCAATCCTTAGTACCAGAAAAACAAACACAAAACTTATGCTCCAGGGGCTAGGGATGTGGCTCAAGCGGTAGCGCGCTTGCCTGGCATGCGTGCGGCCCGGGTTTGATCCTCAGCACCACATACAAACAAAGATGTTGTGTCCGCTGAAAACTAAAAAATCAATATTAAAAATTCTCTCTCTCCTTCTCTCTCTCTTTAAAAACAAAACAAAACAAAATCAAAAAACTTATGCTCCAAACATATAGATCACCACTTCTGAAGATGCCCCATGCATGCTTATGTTGCTCCACCATCTGGGAAGTATTTCTTCCCCATCTCTGACTACTAAATAGTCTAATCTATCCTTGCAAGTCAGACTTTTCTGCCCTATCAGAATTAATCTAAGCCTCTTTAATTCTTTAAACCTCTAACCCTATATTAAAGCTAAGCCTCTTTAATTCTTTAAACCTCTAACCCTATATTAAAGCTAATGGTAAGGCTGGTGGTATAGCTCAATGGTAGAGTGCTTGCCCAGCATGTGTAAGGTGTAAGGACCAGAGATCTGAGATTGATCCCCTATGGGAAAAAAAAAAAAAAAAAAAGACACAGTGGCAGAGCTTATAATCCCAGCAGCTGATGAGAGTGAGGCATGAGGAACGCAAATTCAAAGCCAGCCTCAGCCTCAGCAATTTAGCAAGGCCCTGAGCAGCTCAGAAAGACCCTGGCTCTAAATAGAATATTTTTTAAAAAGGACTGGGGATGTGGCTACATGGTTAAGCACCGCTGGGTTCAATCCCCAGTACCAAAATAAATATATAAAAATGAATGATCTGGGTGTAGCACAACTGTAGTCCCAGCTGCTTCAGAAGCTGAGGCTGAGGTGGGAGGATCATCTTAAGCCCATAAGTCAGAAACCAACCTGGTTGACATAGCAAGACCCATGGTAAACAAAGTTAATGGCATTGTTTGACTTTTGACTTGTATTATAGCTATCTATGGCCCTGGACAGGTTGTAAGATTCTTTTTTTTTTTTTTTTTTAAGCCACATCCCCAGCTCTATTTTGTATTTTATTTAGAGACAGGGTCTCACTAAATTGCTGAGGCTGGCTTTTGAACTTGTGATGCTCCTGCCTCAGCCTCTCAAACTGCTGGGATTACAGGCGTGCGCCACCGCGCCCAGCTGTAAGATTCTTTATGGTAAATGCTTTTGCATCATTCAAGAACTTGCCCTCATTTTGGGGTTCCTGTTTCTAGAGTGGTTCAGTGCAGTGCTGTCACCTGCTGGTCGCACATGGCCCAGCAGCCCTGAGCCCAGCACCTTCCTCCCTCCAGTACTAAGGCCTGTGCCAACCTTACCTGTCAGGAGCTGAAAGTTGCTTGTGACAATGCTGACTCACGGTATCACTCTTCAGAACTTTTCCCACTGACTCCCCCCACCCAGCAATGGACACTCTACATCTTCTCTAGAAACACAGCAATATAATCGGATCTCAAGGATCTGGACGGCAAAGAAAGAAGCCGATAAACATTTTGAGAGAGGAGAATGTGCATCCCCTTCTGCCTGTTTCAAAGAGTCAAGTCGGTTTTATCAGAGACCTTCTATTCCTTTTGTCCTTCGTCTCATGTCTAGGTGACCGTTTGGCCACTGGCCCCCTTGGCGACAGGGATGGTGAACCGGAGGTAGAGCACAGAGTAGGTAGGCGGGGCTTGAGGGGTGGGGCCAGGCCAGAGGGCCTCTCACTTAGGAGCTTCTCCATTCTGTCAGCTCTCCGGGAACATCCAAGGCAAGACTGGCACCAGTGCGTGACAGGTGAGGGACCAACAATGACAGAAGGTAGACTTCAGGGTGACGGTGGGCAGAGGGTCTCTAGCTGTTTCAGACCTTAGCTTTCTATATTGTGAAGCTTACACTTGCAGAATTCTTGGTTGTAACCTAAAGTTGAGTTTTCCCTGGGGCAAGGCGCCTGGGAAAGAAAGTCCCGGCTTGGGAGAGGGGTGTGGGTGGGGAGGGCTGAGGGCTGAGGGTGGGTATGGGTGTGTGGCGAGGATTGGAAGATATAAGGAAATGTCAAAGACATGGAGGTAGGTGGGTCAGGACAGAGGGAGACCACGGCCAGAATTAAAGGCAGAGCCTGGAGGGGAGAAAAGGGGACACTGTGAGGAGGAGAGGGTGAGAAGACTGAACCAAATGTGAGATGGCCATAAGGGCAACGCAGAGCTGGGTAACAGGAAGGCCAAGGAGGAAGGAAGGCTCACATGGAGCAATGTCTCTTCCGCTGGCTGTGGAGCCTCATCTAGAAAGCCCCAGGGCAAGCCAGGAGCAAATCAATGTTGAAGGTTCCCATTGGAATGATTCAGCTGGGGAAGAAACCCCTTCAGGTACCCACCTCCCCTGCCTCTTCAGACTCCCATATTCATTTAGGGGAGAGGACCAGGCTGCTCCTCACTGCGGTCACAGCCACCACATCCTGCAGAGCGGGGGAGGGGGAAGTAAGAAGCCAAACAACCAGAACCAGAGGCGAGGATCTGGGGGGAACCCTGGACATATTCATCATATATATCACTAGGAGGGTCTCTAGTTCAGCTCAGCAGACCAGAGCTTTACGACTACCTGCCCTTCTTGAGGTGCTTGTTTCTCAGACTTGCTCAGTGTCTTCAACCTCGTTGACAGCTCTGGGGAAGAAGGGCTTTTTGGATTATTTGGTTTGACATCCACTGTTATCATTTACTAGTGATTTCAGCCAAACTGCTTAATTTCTCTTAACTTCAGTTTTTCTCATTGCAAAATGGGGGTACCAACCTTATACAGTTGGGTAGACAGGTAATTCATATAAAGCATTTGGCACACAGTAGGTTTTGAGTAAATGTTAGGTATTCGTATTAGTACTCCTTGGGTCCCTGTGTTTGTCACTTTTTCAAATGCAAAGCAGTGACTGGGTATGGTGGTGCACACCTGTAATCCCAGTGATCTGGGAGGCCAAGGCAGGAGGATTGCAAACTCAAGGACAGTCTCAGATGCTTAGGAAGACCCTGTCTCAAAATAAAAAATAAAAAGGGTTGAGGGGCTGGAGATGAGACTCAGTGGTAGAATGCATGAACAAAGGCCCTGGGTTTGATCCTCAGCACTGTAAAATAAATAAATAAAATAAAAAGGGCTGGGATGTAGTTTAGTGGTAGAGCACACCTGGATTCAATCCCAAATATTGAAAACAAATAAGATAAAAATGCAATATAGTACAGATGGGCTTTTGGAGACCAAAAAACCAGTTGTGATTGATCTTGGGTAAATACTTTAACCCAAGTCTGAGTTTGCTCAGTAGTAAAACATCAAGAGTGATGTCTATACCTTACAGCTGTAGGTATACACTTAGCATCCAAAAATGATAGCTGTGAGAATTAACTGCCAGGTAAGCCCCACTCTCTCCACTGTGGCAGCAACAGACTACTTCCCCTGAGGCTTTGCAACTCCTGGAGGCTAGCTTCTCTGTGTGCTCGGTCCTCCAGTCTGGGTAACCCACGCTCTTCAGGGCTGTTTTGGAGATCAAGATTTCATACAGCACTAAAGGAAAAAAGCAACAGCAAGGCAGAGAGGATGGAGGGGCCCAGGGGAAAGAGGACAAAGGAACCACAGAAGCAACAGAAAGGGGAAAAGCCGGTTCTCTCTTTCTAAGGAAGCCTGTGGCCTCTCTTCTAGTGACTGTCCACATACCCATTCCCAGACACCATGGAGTCCTTCAGCTCAAAGAGTCTGGCACTGCAAGCGGAGAAGAAACTACTAAGTAAGATGGCAGGTCGGTCTGTGGTTCACCTCTTCATTGATGAGACAAGCAGCGAGGTGCTAGACGAGCTGTACCGTGTGTCCAAAGAGTACACGCACAGTCGGCCCCAGGCCCAGCGGGTTATCAAGGACCTGATCAAGGTGGCTGTCAAGGTGGCTGTGCTGCACCGCAATGGCAGCTTTGGCCCCAGCGAGCTGGACCTGGCTACCCGCTTTCGCCAGAAGCTGCGGCAGGGTGCCATGACAGCACTGAGCTTTGGCGAGGTGGACTTCACTTTCGAGGCTGCCGTGTTAGCAAGCCTGCTCACTGAGTGCCGAGACACGCTGCTGGAACTGGTGCAGCACCACCTCACACCCAAGTCACAGGGCCGCATTCGCCACGTGTTTGATCACTTCTCTGACCCAGGGCTGCTCACAGCCCTCTACGGGCCTGGCTTCACTCAGCACCTTGGCAAGATCTGCGATGGGCTCAGGAAGCTGCTGGATGAGGGGAAGCTCTGAAAGCTCTGAACCCAGCACCGCCTCCCGTGGCCAGCTGGAAAACAGATAACAGGCTTTCTAACCCTGCTCATCTGCACTAACGCTTTTCAATCCTCAGCCTTCGTTCTCAAGAGTGCTTTAGACTTTGAGACCACCCTGCCCCCAAACTGCTGATGGAGAAGGAGCAATGCTGAGGGGTGAGGACTCTTTCCCACTCCAGCCCTAGCACAGGAAACAAAGCAGCCTGAAAAAGGCGAAGTGAAACTTGGATCTTTCTCCCATGAGGGACTCTGAAACAGGGAAGCCCCTTCTCCCATGAATCAAGGGAAGGGGGTGCAGCCCATATAACCCCTCTGGGGACACTAAAGACAGGAGGGGGTAAGGTGGCCCTTAGAGATGTTCTAGACTCCCAACTCTAGGTGGAGTTTGCCCAGATGTCAGAGCCTGTTTTAGAGTGCAGGAAGAAGCAACTAGGGTAAGGGAGATTCTCACAGGGGAAATAAAACTATTAAAATGTGCATAGGGCTCAATGTTTAATCTCTCCAGTTTTTTATACCTTAGGATCATCACAGAGGAAAGGAGGTATATAAACACCACTTGTCTCACCTCTCACTATTTCCAAACATTTCCAGTATTATTGAGGTTCCCTTGTCTACTTCTTCTGTTTAAGACAAAAAACCAAACTGTACCGCAAACCAGTGCTACAGATTGCAAATAAATATGCAGTAAGGGACAAGGCGTACACAGACAGGCTTTAGTGGGGAGGGGGTGTAACAAAGAGACTCCCACAACTGTCCTTCTCACACCCCAAGGCAATGCTTCTTCTATCCCTTAGCTCCACTGCAGGCTGAGCAGAGAGAGGTCAGAAGGGTGAACTGGAAGAATGGAGAATTCAGGTCTCTACACTGCTGCTTTTTCTTAGAAGTATAGGGACCTAGTTGGTCAGACTGAACCCAAATCCTTCACCTTGAGACTGGGGAAAAGACTTGGCACAGCCCACTGTTCTCCATGACAGCGCTAGACCACGATTCCCCTGTCCTTGATAACATGCGTGGGCAAGGAGTGGGGAAGCTGACGGACCACTTAATTGTGTCTGGGTTCCCCTCATTCCAGGGCTCTAGAAATCACATTTTCAGCTAACAGTGGGAAAGAGTTAGATACAGCAAATAAATATTACTTCAATATAGCACCAAATAAATTAGGTAACACAGGTGGAGATAGGGAAGAAGTTGAAAGGGAGTCTTTGCTTCTCTGCTCTAAGGCCAGAGAATGGTGAAAGGGATAGGAAAGGTAGCAAGGGTATAAAAAGAACCTTTTGAATCTAAAGGAAAACTCTAGATTCAGCCCAAGAACTAGGGAGGGGTCTAGGCCCCATCTCGAACTCCTGCCAGAAAAATGCCCAGGCCAAGGAATTCTTGGTCTACGGGGAGGCTGGAGAAGACAGCAGGAGTCGAGGGAGTCAGGCTGGGAAGCCATGTCCTTGAGCCTCACCTCAGGCTCCTCTCCCCCTCACATTGCTTCTTCAACATACTGCTTCTCTCAGTTCTGGGAACATCAGAGTTTGAAGATTTCATCCTCCTGGTCCCGCAGTGTCTGGGTCCGAGAGGTCCGGGTCAGTGGCACAGGACCTAGGACTGCTCGTTGCTGCATCCGAGGGGAGCTCTGATGGAGACCTGCATCTTCCCCAAGTATCCTGCAGGTGAGAAAAGCAGGGAAAGAGTGATAGATGAAGGGAAGAACGTGAGAATAGGCCAAGAGAAGAGGGGAAGCTCTCTTCCTCTCTTGATTCCTGAACTAGCTGTTCTAAGATGTATTTCTCAATACTAATGCTCCTGCATGGATTATCAGAGCAGGAAGAAGTCAACTATTTTATTCCACTGATAACATGGAACCCAATTTCCCACCACCTCAACCCATCCAGCAGCCATTGGCTCTGCTCACTGTCTTGGGGTCACCAAGGAAAAGGTATCACCTCATTTCTGCTGGCACTTGTGTTTATGCTTAGGTAAGATGGAGGAATCTATGCAGGGACTTACAAGGAACTACTCAAGACCCACCTGCTTTCCCCTGTTCTCAGCTTTTGGGCAGCAGCCTTCTTTGACAGGCTGATCTGTGAATCAAGCTTCTTAAGGAAATCAGAGGCAGAGAGGTCATGGAGGGGAGTAGGGGGTTCCTGGCCAGCTTTAGGGAGAGCTTCACCATTGGCACCGCCTGAACCTGTCTCTTGTTTCTTCCTCTCAGCTGAGTGTAGCTGAACTTCATCCTTACGTGGGTCTACCTCTTCCTCTCCATCTTTCTCTTCCTCTGAATCCAAACCATTGAACAGGTCTCTGGGCTCTCTCAGGATGGGGATGTAGAGAGTTTTCTTCAGAAAGATGGAGTCATTAGTATAAAGGCGGTTTGCACGCTTGATCTGTTCCATCTTTTAAAAAAAGCCATCAAGATTAATAACAGTTACAATGATCAATCTTACATAGTATCTAAAACTTTTTAAAGTAATTGTACAGTCGTATCATAACAACCAATCTAAAATACATAGGGCTGACATTATTCCTATTTATATGTAAGCCATTTTCATACTCTTTAGTCTTAGGGCCCCTTTACATTTTTTTTAAAATATTTATTTATTTAGTTAGTTAGTTAGTTAGTTTTCGTCGGACACAACATCTTTGTTTGTATGTGGAGCTGAGGATCGAACCCGGGCCGCACGCATGCCAGGCGAGCGCACTACCACTTGAGCCACATCCCCAGCCCCGCCTTTACATTTTTAAAAATTATTGAGGCAAAAAGCTTTTATAAACCAGGCATGGTGGTGCATGCCTGCAGTACCAGCTACTCTTGAGGTTGAGTAGGAGAATCACATGTTTGAGGCCAGCTTGGGCAGCTTAGTGAGACTCAAAATAAAATGAAAAGGGCTGGGGACATAGCTTAGTGTAGAGTGATTGCCTACCACATGTGAAGTCCTGGGTTAATTCCCATTATGGCAAAAAAAAAAAAAAATTCTAGTAAATTAAACTGGGGTAGAACTAGAATCCTTGGCCTTTTACTCCTCCTGGGAATGCTTTTCACACTATAATAATTTCTTTCATAAAATATTTATTCATCACTGAACACAGTGACTGCCATCACAATCTATCTACTTGGTCTTGCAATGTCAGGCTGAGGATGCAGCTCAGTGGTATTTCCTGCTTGGAAATACATCTTTTCCCCCCACCCCCAGTACTGGAAATTGAACCCAGGGGTACTCTACCACTGAGCTATATCCCTATTTTTTTATTTAATTTTTTTTTAAACCAGGGATTAAACCTAGGAGTGCTTAACCATCAAGTCACATCCCTTTCCCTTTTAAAATATATTTTAGAGACAAGGTCTCTTTAAATTGCTTAGGGCCTCACTAAGCTGCTGAGGCTGGCTTTGAACTCACAATCCTCCTGCCTCAGCCTTCCAAGCCACTGGGATCACAGGCGTGAGTGACCATGCCTGGCTTGATTTTGATTTTTTTTTTTTTTTTATGGTATTGAGCCCAGGGCCTCGCACATGCTAGGCAAGTGCTCTACTATTAAGCTACATCTTAAAAAATTATTATTATTATTATTTAAATTTATTCATTTTAAAAATATCTTTATTTTATCTTTATGTGGTGCTGAGGATCAAACCCAGTGCCTCATGCATGCCAGGCGAGCACGCTACCACTTGAGCCACATCCCGAGCCCCCAAAGTTATTTTTTGAAATAGAGTCTCTCACTAAGTGGCCCAGGCTGGCCTTGAATCTGCAATCCTCCTGTCTCAACCTCCAGTGTAGCAGGGAATTACAGGCAAATGCCACAATACCCAGTTCAATGTCATCCTTATCATGTTTTTGTTTTGTTTTAGGTGGACACAATATATTTATTTTTATGTGGTGCTAGGGATCGAACCCAGTGCCTTGCGCATGCCAGGCCAGCCTGCTGCCACTTGAACCACATCCCCAGCCCCTTATCATGTACTTTTATCATCCACACCAAACTGGACAACAAAAGTGCTCTAAAAATCTGGGCTAGCAGGGCTGGGGATGTAGCTCCGTGGTAGAGTGCTTGCCTAGCATGTGCAAAGACCTGGGTTCAATACTCAATGATGAATAAAGAGAGAGAGAGTGAGAGAAAGAGAGACAGACAGACATGCCTCATCTGATCTTATCTTCATGTCTAATGCCATTGCCCTAGAATAAACCCTTAATATTTCTCATCTGAGTTATCCCAACAGTGTAGTTGCTCTTCCTCTTTCACTTCTACTCATCTTCCTCTTCACAAATAGAAAAATAATCTGATTAACCCACTAGCCTGCTTATAAACTCCTATGGATCCTCACTGGCTAAAAGGTAAAAATCAGGGGTTATAGCTCAGTTGGAAGAATGTTTGCCTTGCATGCACAAGGCCCTGGGTTCACTCCCAGCACCACCAAAAATGAAAAATAAATTAACATTCAGGGTTTTCTCAGTCTAGTTTTCTCAGTCCAGAAATGTCTAGCCTTGTCTCTCTTCTGCCATCTATACAAACTTTGCTATCCTGAACTTTTCATTTTTCTTTGAAGATTTCATGATCTTTCATACTTTGTCTTATTCAAGCTGCTCTTTCTGCCTGAAATGCCTCCCCACTCTCCCCTTCTCTGCTTGGAGAATTTTTACTCATCAACACTCCTTTTGTGTTACCTTCTTCACAGCTGTAACTGATGTAATAATACTGGTCCTTCGAGGTGAGGGGATAGCTCAATAACAGAGGACTTGCCTGTCATGTGCAAGCCTCTGAATTTGATCCACGGAACTACACAAAAAACAAAAACAAGCTGGATGTGGTGGTGCATCCCTGTAATCCCAGCAACTAAGGAAGGTGAGGCAGGAAAATCAAAAATTCAAGACCAGACTGGACAACTTAAGGGGACCCTGTCTCAAATTTTTAAAAAAGGAGGGGGCTGGGTAAATATTAGTGGTAAAGCTCCCTGGCTCAATTCCCAGTACCAAATAAGTAAGTAAGTAAGTAAGTAAATAAATAAATGGCTGGGGAATAGTTCAGTGGTAGAGTGCTTGCATATCATATGAGAGACCCTGAATTCAATCACCAGTAATGAAAAAATATAAAAGAAAAAAACCACAAAACACATTGCCTTACCATATTGTTATTTACTTCTATGAATGTTTTACTCAAACCCTGTGTCTTTGTAGCATTTTTTTTTTTTTGACGGTGTTATTGAACCCAGGGCCTTGTGCATGCGAGGCAAGCACTCTACTAACCGAGCTATATCCCCAGCACCTATTCAAACCCTGTGTCTTTATTTATGATTACTATTTTTAAAAATAGTTTTTAGTTGTAGATGAACACAATATTTTCATTTTTATTTATTTATTTTTATGTTGTGCTGAGGATCAAACCCAGGGCCTCATGCATGTGAGGCAAGCACTCTACCACTGAGCTACACCTCCAGCCCCTTTATGATTATTTTTTTTAATGCAGTGCTGGGGACTGAACCTCAGGGCCTTGTGCAT